TTTAGCAGACATACCGTTGTGCCACTGGGGGGCTCTCACGGCATGTAAAAAAGAAAAAAAATCATAAATATTTCTATATACCATACATGGATTACGAAATTGTTCGTAATTTTTTATAGCAAAACCACATCAGCCTATCTGCTGTATCCACCGCGGGGAATCGAATCCTGGATTTTAGCGTTATAAGTCCGTAAATATATCGCTGTTCCATTGGGAGACTTTTAAGTTGGTAAACTATATTCTACTTAAAAACCAACCATCACCACCAACAACAAAAAAACAACAACAATTATTTTTTAGAAAAATGATTAAATTTTATGAAATTAGATTTTTTAAAATAAATCTCTTCCTATTTTGACTTGTATTAGCTGGTAGGAGAAACTTCAGACTTTTGTATTTATTTGTTGATTAAATTTACGTTACATTAATCAGAAACTCACTTGTATTACGGGAAACAGATATAGGAGAGAAGCCTTAAAAAATACAAATAGAATATTAATTTTTGACGTTTTTTTATCTTCATTGTTACTAGTTAATTTGTTTGTTATAAAGCACAAAGCTACACAATGGGCTATCTGTGTTGTGCCCATCGCTAAAATCGAAACCCGATTTTTAGCGTTATAAGCCTTCAGATTTACCGCTTTAATGTTTGAAGTAATCGTAACAAAATTCATCCCAAAATTAAAGCTACGCCCCACAAGTTCTAGTTAATACCGAACAAGTCCTAGTGTTTAGCATGTTTGGACTGTGAAGCCGATGACTCACGGTTAACCACAAAACTCACGTTGCCACAAAAACGCGCTCCGCATTTTGATGCGCTATAAGAGTGATGGTAAATTTCGTAGTGAGTTCTATAGAATGGCTGCCTTCCCTTTATCATTTCACAGTTAGGAAAGCCCCCTTGTAACTTTGTGAGAGAATTTTGAAACAAACAAACAAATAAGTTTCTTTCATTAACTCTAAGGACAAGCTTCTATTTTCTAACCCTAACGACATTAGTGACAAGCTCCTAGTTTCTAACTCTAACGACATTAATGATAAGCTCCTATTTTTTAACTCTAACGACATTAATGAAAAACTTCTATTTTCTAAACCTAACGACATTAGTGACAAGCTCCTATTTTCTAACCCTAACGACATTAATGACAAGCTTCTATTTTCTAACCCTAACGACATTAGTGACAAGCTGCTATTTTCTAACTCTAACGACATTAATGACAAACTCCTATTTTCTAACTCTAACGACATTAATGACAAACTTCTATTTTCTAAACCTAACGACATTAATTACAAGCTCCTATTTTCTAACCCTAACGACATTAATGACAAGCTTCTATTTTCTAACCCTAACGACTCGGCTTTCTTCGATAACGCTGTTGAACACACATATCTTCAGTGAAACAGTTTTGCACATGTAAAGATCCTGAAATTCTATAATTTTATCAACCTGACAGGTTAAAGACTCCCAGCTGCAATGGGTACGTAAAATATAGATATAAAGACAAATTGTGAAATAAGCTCATATCTGACTCAGAATTAAAAAGGCTTATAAGACTTTACAAAGTTGTACAGTTTACAAAACACGTTTTTGATACAATGCAAAACAATGAGTCTGGAAATGTGTAACTTTATTTGCTTCTTTACTTAGATGTATACTGTAAAACTCTGAACCCGTCTCTTCAAGACAACCACCTGGAGATACTCCATGCTTCTTCATCCAAGAATTAGCCCATCATCCTCATAGGCTTCGTTAACAGTTTTATAAACTATATATGTACCAAATTACTTGTGGATTCATGAGTTTGTTGGTTACAGGGTACTTTTTTTTAGTAATATAAGAGTCCGTAAAAAGAGTGTAAACGAAAATACAATTGGATTTACTTCCGCAGAGTCCGTGAAAGTGTTCTGTTTCAAGAGTAAATAAAACCAAAATTAAGAGTAACAAATATTTTTATTTCTTGATTTTCAAGTTCATATGTCATGCTGTGTTGTAGCCTACAGAGTGCGTAATTTTTCTCGAGATTCGTGGCAAGTGCACGTTTTACTGACGTCACAACAGTACAAATTGCAACGTTAAGGGTCCTTTAAGTGACGTCATATTAGTGTCTACTGATTCCACCCAGTTGGTCAGTTCTTTACAGTGAGTAACGTAAGAGGCCGAACATTAGAATCAATCAAAATGAACGTTGTGACCTGAATAGCACCGAAACTAACGCTCACTATGGCTGGCCTTAAAATTACCTAATTTATAGTTTCGATATCACTGTACAGTGTTATAATAGAGGTAAAACGGTACACACTGAAGCTATTGGTGTTTTGGTGTTAATTTAAGGTAAAACGAACAGATCAGGGGACACTGCAGTACACACTGAAGCTATTGGTGTTAATTTAAGGTAAAACGAACAGATCAGGGGACACTGCGGTACACACTGAAGCTATTGGTGTTAATTTAAGGTAAAACGAACAGATCAGGAGACACTGCGGTACACACTGAAACTATTGGTGTTAATTTATGGTAAAACGAACAGAGCAGGGGACAATACGGTACACACTGAAGCTACTGGTGTTAATTTAAAGTAAAACGAGCAGAGCAGGGGACAGTGCGGTACACACTGAAACTACTGGTGTTTTGGTATT